AGGGGGTGCAGAGCTGAGCTGTGGCTGCGGGGGTGCAAAGGTGGGTTGCAACTCAGCTCGCCTCTGCACCCCTCCCCCCTGCTGCAGCTCACCTATGCACCCTGTCTGCAACTCAACTCAATTTACCTCTGCAACACCTGACTGCAGCTCACCTTTGCACATCCCCCCCTTTCCCCACCACTGCCCTCATATGGTTAACTAGCTTTGCAAAACACAGCTGTCAGCAGCCGGCCCCTCTCTATAGTAACTCCCATTTTGGGTCCTATCTTCCCACACAGTGTACCAAGCGCACTTACTCACCGCTCCGCCTCTTCCCCACTGGCTGGTGATCACCCCTGGGGCATTGGCTTCCATGCATTAGGCTGCAGGAGGAGATGCCCCACCCCTAAACACACTGCATTCTTACTGCACCCGCAGATATCTTTTCCTTCCCTGTCTCACAGTTAGTACAAAGGTAGGGAGGTTCTGTGGGAGCGGATGGTGCTGTCACTTCAGCCGCACTTCTGTGTTTATAAGAGACAGTAGATATGGGTGTGCGCAAGGCCAGTGGTGGAGGTGGCGGTATGGCGTTCCACCATGTTCCGGTTGAAAAAAAACCGCTGAACACAACTAGGTCTTATTTTCAGGGTAGGTCTTATTTTAGGGAAAACAGGGTAGTTACCTGTGGCTATCTTTTCTTCCTAAGAGTGGTCTTCAATCTGCCACTAAATCTGTAAGCAAAGCTGTTTCATAACAAGCACCACTCTCACCCTACTCCAGGGTCTCAGACTGATTGCTGGGTCCAAGCAATTACACCTATCGGAATGGTAGAGTGCAAGCAATGGCTGCATGTGTACCTTCAAGGTACCAAGACGACGTTTAGTCCCACAACTGGTTAATCTTTGACATTTTAGAAAGCTTCTCAAGACCAGAAAATAGATGCTGCTGTGGGAGATTAAGTAAGCAGTCTGAGTAGAATTATCCCCTGGGGGAATACTTCAGAAAAGAAAAATCATCCAGCAGTCTCATGAATGAACAATTAATCTCCTTCTCTCATTCAAACCTATGGAGTAGATTAATTGCTATTACGTTCTGAAAAGAGACTATATTGCATGATTTGTTGGAGATTGATCTTGTAAGATGGATCTTCTGTGTGCAAGGTCCATAAAAGTGAACAAAGCATTTGACTGATTGACTGTATGGGATTTAAATCTCTCTTTCACGTTCAGCACTTCGCTCACTGAACAGAGGACTCATTTACCAATAAAAACAGGCCCTTTGGCACAGAAGGATTTTTTTAACCAGTGATAACCTGCAATCTGAACTTCTTACTACATCTGTGTGCACAACACAGGCCGAAGAGCTAACCTGCTTAACAGAATTTTGTTGTGAATTAAATGGCAACCAAAACTTCTGTTAACATATTTAGAGTAATTTTATGCAAAACCCATAGGTGCAGGTGACCATACAAAAGCAATTATATTATTTTATTGCCTGGTGAAGTCAGAAGTCTGTAGATCAGTATGATAGTAGTATGGGGAAAATACACTGAAAAATTGAAAGGAACACTTTGAAAACACATCAGATCTCAATGGGGAAAAATATCATGCTGATATGGACTGGGTAATGTGTTAGGAACATAAGGATGATGGAAACGAAAAATATCAACTTACAGAGGACTGAATTCAAAGACACCCCAAAAATCAAAGTGAAAAAATGATGCAGCAGGCTAGTCCATTGTTCTATTGCACTTTCACTGCACCTTATTAAACAAACCCATATGATTGAAGGTCAGTCTAGTACTATAAGCAACTGCATTGTGAAGGAGTACAGGTGGGTGTGAAATAGGGCATTTTTAAAATCTCCTGCTTCTTTCCTTACACTTGTGGTCATTGGAAAGAATTAACTCCTTATAGATCGTTAAAAAGATCAATGGTGTCAGTAAGAACTTCTCTGAGAGGCAGAAATTTCTCATTGCTCAAGGAATCCCTAGCAATCCTTGGAGGAACCCTGGAAGAGAAACCCTGGCTTAGATGATGTCATCAGTCTGCTGTAGGAAGAACAGGAGCACCACACCAAGAACTTAAGAGCCCAAAATGTTTTTGAGTAATTTCAACTAAATTGTTAGGTGCAGCCAACTTATTTCAGGGATCGAAACTGTCCTTTCATCAGAGCTTGTGCTGCATGCAGATTCACTACTGGGTGGATGTAGCCAGATGTTAAACTTTGGATATCTGAATCCACAGGAATGCTCCTCAGCAGCTGGTATGATACACTCATAAGGCAAAAGAAATAGGCTGCACCTACTGATCCTGTTGAGGCCACTTTAGCAGAATAAACATTTTTGGACTTCTTGGTGTAGAGCTCCTGTTCTTTGCTCTCTCTTTGAATCCACCCTGAGGTTGTTCTGAAAGCCCATCTGAGCATAACAGCTGCTTGCCCATTGTTAAAATTCTGCAGATCACAAACTCTACAATATCTGTGGAGGTTGAACAACCCTGGAGTTTCAGCCCCATTTGTCCATCTCCCCAAACATCAGTCTGTTGCAGACAGAAGGAAGCATTTCTTCAGTCCCTTCTCCAGTTATCAGACTGCAATATTGTTATTCTCTCTCTAATAAGTTACCAAGGTCATAGCAGGATGCTGTCCTGGCTCAGATGTTTGTGATCACATGAATATATGATATTTTATGCTAGCTCTTCTTTTTAAGGAGAATCCAAATGAAAAAAACTAATCAAAACACGTTTCCTAAAGCAGTTGAATCTCTAGCTACTCCGTTTTACTGGCAGACAGAAATGTACCTTTTACACATTGCCATGTGCTGGTGAAGTCCAGCATGGCATCTCAGCCATATATACTCAATGGGCAGTTGTTGAGGAATGTGAATTATCACACTTGACATCTTATTTTGGAGCACCACATGTCAAACTATTACGTTGCAAACTATTATGATTCATTATTTATTTGGGGTAGATTGTAACTTGGAATGTTTAAAATAATTGGTGCACTAGTCACAACTTTTTTTTCACAGCCATCAAATTAACTATTATTTTGCCCATCAATTTTTGTGAACCAAATATTTGACACACCAACAATAGTTTATCTGATCCAGTGCTTCTTTTTAAGAATGGTTGATGGACCTTAGTAGTGCGCTATGTGAAAAATGGCTAACCGCAAGCAAAATTATTTAACAGTTTTCATCATCTGCTAAGGGTAACTTGAAAACAGACTGGTTGCTATTGGTCACTACAAAGTAGTGAATAGGAATAGTAACTGTGCTTACAATGGGAACCATTGCATTTAGATGAATGAACTGCTGTACCAAATTTCAGCAACGGGTGGCGCTGGAGGTCACAATAAGGCAACTCATACCAGCCAATCTATTTTCAGGTTGCTGCATGTGAGAGATGGCTGCGGTGCTCTATTGCACTTTCACTGCACCTTATTAAGCAAACCCATATGATTGAAGGTCAGTCTAGTAATATAAGCAAGTGCATAGTGAAGGAGTACAGGTGGGGCATTTTAAAAATAAAGGCAGATAGCAAAAAACAAGTAAAATTTCAAAAAGTCATAATGATCATTTTTCTACAATGACACAACATAATTTAAGAGTTTTAATAGGTACGTTTCTCAACTGTACATATCCTATAATAAATAACTCCTTTTGGAAAGACATTTTCTAGCAACTTGCATTGTACTAGGCATTAATTCCCATACCAATAGTGAACAGTTTACATATATAGAATATCAAACAATACATAATTAAAAAAGAAATCAACATTCCGAGAAGGTCTTCTATATTAATCATTCCCAGGGTAAAAAAAAAGAATGTATAACTGGGTAAAGGTGTCAGCTGCTTCAGTGGCTCTGTGAACCTAGCCATGCATCATTTGGATGAAATTAGGAAGAACTGCCCCAGGATATACAGCTAAATATGTTTTCCAGGAAGAAGTTAAATTCTTTCACATTACTCACAAAGGGCAACTGTCAGAGCTGTATAGATCTCTGCAGTAGAGAGGTCTAAAACTAAGTCCTTAGCTAGATTGGCTGTGCAACGTCCCAGTGGAAGTGGAAATTCAGATAATAAAGGAAGAGTCCTGGAGGAGCACATTAGTGGCTGATGCACTGGGGTTGATTTACTAAAGGCAAATAGGCTGTTCACTTTTCAGCGGAATTCACACTTTGCAAAGGAGTTTTCCTCAACTTCCTGAATGAAGTAAAGCTCTGCTGACATCCAACCTCCAACCAAGTGCAAAGTGAATTTTCACCACATTCACTAAGCTAAGGGAAAATTCCCTTGAAAAGTGAACAGCATGTTTGTAGTAAATCAACTCAAAATATTCACACTAAAGCTACTGTTGTTTCAATGCTAGGCATGTGGGCTCCAGTTTGAGATGCTTGTGATGTTGTGCCTATGTGTGCTCCCAGTTGTGATGTTGGGCCTGTGTTCATGCCAGTTTGTGATAGTGGGCCTGTTGTGCATGTGTGCATGCCAGTTTGTGATGGTGGGCCTGTGCACTCTCCCAGTTGTGATGTAGGGCCTCTGTGCACACCATTTTGTGATGTGGGGCCTGTGTTACTTCAGTTTGTGATGTTGGGCCTGTGTGTGCTCCCGGTTGTGATGTAGGGCCTGTGTGTGCTCCCAGTTGTGATGTCGGGTCTGCTCCCGGTTGTGATGCAGGCCTGTGTGTTCCCGGTCATGATGTAGGGCTTGTGCGTGCTCCCGGTTGTAATGTAGGGCCTGTGTGCACACCAGTTTGTGATGGTGGGCCTGTGCACGCTCCCTGTTGTGATGTAGGGCCTGTGCGCACACCAGTTTGTGATGTAGGGCCTGTGCGCACACCAGTTTGTGATGTGGGGCCTGTGTTACTTCAGTTTGTGATGTTGGGCCTGTATGTGCTCCCCGTTGTGATGTTGGGCCTGTGTGTGCTCCTGGTTGAGATGTCGGGTCTGTGAGTGCTCCTGGTTGTGATGTCGGGTCTGTATGCTCCCGGTTGTGATATTGGGTCTGTGTGTGCTCCTGGTTGTGATGTCGGGTCTGTGGGTGCTCCTGGTTGTGATGTCGGGTCTGTGAGTGCTCCTGGTTGTGATGTCGGGTCTGTGTATGCTCCCGGTTGTGATATTGGGTCTGTGTGTGCTCTCGGTTGTGATGTAGGGCCTATGTACTCCCGGATGTGATGTTGGGTCTGTGTGTGTTCCCGGTTGTGATGCAGGGCCTGTATGCTCCCGGTTGTGATGCCAGGTCTGTGTGTGCTCATTGTTGTGATGCAGGGCCTGTGTGCTCCCGGTTGTAATGTCGGGTCTCTGCGTGCTCCTGGTTGTGATGACGGGGTCTGTGTGTGCTCCCGGTTGTGATGATGGGGTCTGTGCGTGCTCCCGGTTGTGATGACGGGGTCTGTGCGTGCTCCCGGTTGTGATGACGGGGTCTGTGCGTGCTCCCGGTTGTGATGACGGGGTCTGTGCGTGCTCCCGGTTGTGATGACGGGGTCTGTGCGTGCTCTCGGTTGTGATGACGGGATCTGTGTGTGCTCATGGTTGTGATGCCAGGCCTGCGTGTGCTACCAGTTGTGACGCCGGGCCTGTGTGTGCTCCTGATTTTGATGCAAAACCTGTGTTTACTCCAGTTTGTGATGTATTGAAAATCATTAAAAGCTATCACTGGGTAATTACTACAAGTGCAGAAAGCACTTCCTCTCTTTATATTACGTATCTCACAACCAGTCTATCTCAGCTAATATCAGATAAGGTCTCAGGCTTCACACAGCCCTTGGTTTCCTATAGAAGTTTATAAGGGATGCATACAGTGTATTACTGGACAGCCACTGTATGTGAGTAAAAATATGGTAGGCTAAGGTTACACTGGTAATTAAATCTCTTTACTACTAAGATATGCAACTACTTGCTGTCAATTATCCTGTTAGCATTGTTATAATTTTTAGTGTGCTGTGAGGTGACAGCCAACAAGTGGTTAGTCGCCAGTGTAGCCTTAGACTTGCTGTTTCCTGGAGATGCTCTTTAAAGTTAGATCTAGAACTAGAAGATGAGAATGGATCTTCCCTGTTTTTACTACTAAAGGTCAGCATGGCAGTGATATGTATGAATAATCCAGCATCTAAAATATGGTTTTCTATAGTTTTCAATAATATTTCTTTTAAAAATTGACTTTGCTCCTACTGAATACCTGTGGAGTATTGTTATCCTATAAACAGCTAGGTTTGGTTTCACATGCAGTTTTAACGGTCTGTGTTATGGGCCTAGTCCCTAAAGGTCTGGTATATATGGGTTACTAGGTGGGCTCCTTGATCCTGACTAAGGCTCTTTTTCATATATGGTTATTTTGATTAATTTTCTGTATATATTATGAGGCATCTCATAAGCTGGCTCTCTGAGGATTTCCCTTTATAACAAGCAAATACATTCCCCACTAGGTGGATTGAAAAGACAGCACTTGAACATTGTCATCAGGAGACATATCTCAGCCAGAATAATTGAGGTCTTCTGGTGGGACGGTGACACAAGTCTCAGTGAGCCACTGATGTTACAGACAGAATTGAAAAGTTTCACAAGAAACGCTGTCAGTCTCGGCTCAGGATACACCAGGAAGCTGGAAAAAAAATGTTCCTAATTAACCAATTGCTCAAAACATAGACATGCAAGGGTTGTTTTACTGACAATGATGGGCTGTAACAAATGAGCCTGTCAATGATCTAACTTGAAACTGCAAAGAGCCATCGTGTCCAATGAACGGATGCAGCACATGCATAAACCATAATCATTAGGTCTTCTCTAGGGAGAAGCAGTAAACTGTTGAAAGAATATAGAAATGTCCTACAAGCACTTCTGGTGCTTATGAGTGCTCTTTATCCTTTGAAAATCAGTTTTTATTTCACATACTCTGTGTACTACATGTATTATCATTGCAATTGTCTACATGTTTTACTGTTTGAATCCCCTGTGTAGGAAACTCATGTTGTGTATCCCTTATTAGATCTTTTTTCAATAAAAATATTGTACCAAAAAAATCAGTTTCTACACACTTCAAATATTGAGAAAACAGCTCAAAATAGGTGTAATGCAAAAAGAGAGCTGTGTATTACTGCTCTCCCAAGTGACAGCTGACCTTTACCAATAACCATAATATCTAATTTCTACTCTAGAACTTATTTAAAAATGTTGGCGGTTTTTTTTGGAATTTTTTTGTAAAAATGCATTTTGCAAACCTGTGGGGCAAAGAAAAATTTTACAGTGTCTCTTTACTGGACTTTTATAAATTTTAGCTTCCCAAAGAAAAATATCCCACACTTTACAATCACGTCTTATTCATATCATCAGTTTGCGGCAGCATCTATATTTGTGAGCAACTATTTTCAAGGATGAAGCACACAAAGGGCAAGATAAGACCCAAAATATTTGATGAGCACTTTGAGACGTCAATGAGAATTGCTACTACAGCCATCAAACCAGATATTGATTTGTTAAGTTTATCAAAAACAGTGTCAAATATCGCACTAGTTTTATGTTGACTTCTTTTACTTTGTAATATTTTTTATTATAAAACAATTAAGTTTTATTACTCAGACAGGTACATTATCTATATCAGTGATCGTTAATGTAAGATCTGCCCCATCTTTTTCTGCACATCAGCTATCTTTATTGTTAGTGCATTTTATGTGCGGCCAAAGACAATTCTTCTTCTTCCAATGTGGCCCAGGAAAGTCAAACGGTTTCTAAATGAAAAACCATTAGAATAAGAACAGCAGTTTGGTAGCACATGCATTTTAAGACTGAAGAAAATTTCTATTAGTGCACTTTACACCCAAATGGATTTCAACTTTATATTTCATATTTTTATTGAGAACTAAACATATTAAAACAAGATGGCTAACAATAAAAGAAAAAAAAAAAGAAAGGGCCCACCAACAAAATGGAACCAGATTCAGAATCATAAACATAATACTGGTAGGAGAAAAAAAAAAAAAAAAAAAAAAAAAAAAAAATTTTAGCAGATAATAGCATTACAATGCACATGAAAAAAGTCAAAGCCATCAAAATATACAAGTTTCAAAGATCAATAAACAACAATTATAGCAAAATAGACCAAAAATAACAAAGAAAAATAAAAATGTTTAACAAATAGCAGGAAAAGAGAAAAAAAGAGGAAAAATAGAGAAAGGAGGGGGGGGGGGGGGGGGGGGGGTCAGCTGCCAGACACTCACGATACAGTAATATAAGCAATCCAAGGATCCCAAGTCCGCTCAAATCTGGACACATCATCAGAGACGATACTCGTCAGTTTATCATTAACCATTATCCAGTTCAGTTTTTGTTTCACCCTATCCAGCGGGATCAAAGATTGCTTCCAACTCCTAGCTATAGTAATGCGAGCCGCCAATAAGATATATACAATTATTTTAATCGATCTTTTGGGAACATCAGAGGGTAGTATATTAAACAAGGCTACTTCCGGCGATCTACGGATATTAATTCCTGTCACTGAGTAAAGAAAATTAAATATGCGGATCCAGAACCTACTCACGACTGGGCATTTCCACCAGACATGGAACATAGTACCCTCTTGACCACAGCGTCGGAAACAGGCAGAAGAAACGGAAGGATACATAATGGCTAGGCGAGCAGGGACCAAATACCACCGAAGTAGCGTCTTGTAATTAGATTCAACAAGATCAGTGTTAATCGAAATCTTCGATAAGGCATGGGCCGCCGTCCGCCAGGTATCCAAATCCAATGAACTATTTAAATCCCGCTCCCATAAAGTCATGTAAGACAATTTTGTTAGAGGATCAACCAACAAAGCATAAACAATGGACAAGCGACCCCGCATTACCCCACTCGCCCCACAGGAGACCTCGAGGGAAGTAAGCGCACAAGGTTCTGTGAGTAGTCTAAGTTTGCTATCAATAAAAGAGCGAAGTTGATGGTAACGAAATATCTCTCCACGAGGCATCCCAAAAAAATTCACAAAATACTGACGAGACCGAGGGCGAACCCCATCTAAATAATCACCAATACGTAGCAAACCCTTATTAATCCACCATTGGAAACCCCCGAAAGACAAACCCCGGAACAAACTCAGGATTACCAAACACCGGAGCCAACGGAGTATGCGGAGAGAAAAAAGGTTTACGAGCTCGCCATCTATCCCACACTGACAATGAATAAGATAGAGTAGGACACAAAATAGGAGGGCGCAATCTATTGGGAAGCCACATGAGAGTACCAATAGCATATGGACGGCACGAAAGAGCCTCAATCCCAACCCATTGGGGGACATATCCCCTGGCCGTAGTACAAGATAGTTGTGCTATTTGGGCCGCCTGAAAATATGCGAAAAGATTAGGGAGTCCCAAACCACCATGCCTCTTCAAAGAAAACAAGGTAGATTTGTTCAGCCTAGGGCGCTTTCCCCTCCAAACAAATCTGGAGACTGCAGCCTGCAGGAAGACTAGTTCTCGTTTGGGAATCAGAATTGGTAACGTCCTAAAATAGTATAATAATCTAGGTAGGAAGGTCATTTTAATAGAATTAATTCTACCGAACCAGGAAAGAGAAAGATCCTGCCAGGCTAATAAGTCATTCTTAAGTCGCTTGAAAAGCGGGATATAGTTGGCCTGGTATAGCGTCGATACAGATTTCGTAAGAAGAATCCCCAGATAAGGGAGAGAACCAGGAGCCCACTGAAAAGCAAAGTTTTCCCGGCAGTAGCGAACCTCTGAATCGGGTAAAGAGATATTCAAAGCAACAGTTTTAGAGGAGTTGAGCGTAAGAACGGAGACCTCAGAAAAATGATGAAACAGATGGAAGAAACCAGGTAGAGACGTTCGAGGATCAGATATATACATAAGAACATCATCGGCAAATAGGGCACATTTATGAACCCTTTGACCACAGATAACACCCGATATAGAGGAATCAGCGCGAATAGCAATCGCAAGAGGTTCCATCGCCAATGCAAAGAGCAACGGAGAAAGAGGACATCCCTGTCTAGTTCCTCGCTCTATCGAAAAAGGAACTGATTTATGTCCACGAATGGATACCTGAGCTGACGGGGTAGAATAGAGGGCCCGCAAACAACGTCGTAAAATAAGGGCCAAACCCAAACCTGTCCAACGTTTTAAACAAATAATCCCAGGACAGACTGTCGAATGCCTTCTGAATATCCAGTGACAGTAGAAAAATATATCCCTTTGCGACGATCCATCCCAATTGGACTGCACAGCTGACAGCAAAGCTATAGTCCCCTAATTTGGTCCGATGTTTGTCGACCACTTATGAATCCTGATTGGTCATCATGAATGTATAAGGCCAAGAAGTTATGGAGCCGTAAGGCCAGGATTTTAGTAAGAATCTTTAAATCACAATTAATTAAAGAAATAGGCCGGTAATTGGAGACCATAGCGGCATCCTTGAAAGGCTTGGGAATGACACTAATGAATGCCTTATTTTCCTCTGGGAGAACCACACCCCCCCTCCCGCAAATAATTAAAGTACAGGGCCATATGGGG